ATTATGCCCAACCCTAGTCAACGCTCTCTGGTTTCATTTTAAAGAGTCAATCATCAAATATTGTCCAAGATTAACCTTCAGGGTGGATATAGCTCGCTAGCAGCCTCGCACCGAGGACCTATCCACGTCATCATTTACCCAGAATGCTTTGCGTGTAAATAAAATGGCCCCGTCCGTGTAATATATTTTTAAACTTTTAATTGAAAAATTATAAAAACTAAACAGCCTACAGTATTTTTACAGGCTTTGTTTTACAGTTAAAATATATGTTTATTAAATAAAGTCTAATGTTACAACTAATCAGGGATCCCTTTAAAACCAATCAAATCCAGGACTATCTCTGACCAAACAGACAGTTTTCTGTTCGTTGGCATTGAATTCATCAGTCCAAAAATAAGGCCTTAATTAGCATTAAAATGTCTTAAATGAATCTTTCAGAGGTCTTAAAAAACACATTGCAGCTAAACAGGATTATTGTAATCCATCTCAACATTTATCTAGTTTTAAAAAAGTTAAAGTTAACAAAATTTTGTTTTGTTAAAGTAAATATTTGGGTAAAATTGTCGCAAAGTTTTTTTATTTTTTGTTTTGTCCTGATGCATCTCATCTCATCTAAATCTTTTCTTTTTGATTTCGTATTGTTTTTTTATTTTTATTTTTTGTGAAGTTGGTCTTAAAATAAATTTCAAGTGGCGTTAAAGAGGTCTTAAAAAGTCTTAAATTTAACTTGTTTTATGAACCCAGATTATGAGCTGTAAGCTGAAACACCTGCCTGAATCCAGTCACTCATAAGGCCTCTTTGTTTCTTTCCTTGGACTACATGCTACACAGAGCCGAACCCAAACACTGGGCCCCCTGGAGGTGGTCCACGGGGTTCTTCAAGCTGGATTAAAAGGAGCGTAAAACCTCAGATAAACCAAGAAAACCGACCTCACCACAGCTGAAGTTGAGTAAAACTCAGTAMAGCAGTAAAATAACACAGATCTGCTCAGTTAAGTAGTTAAATTATAAGTTTAGTCTTATTGTCATACAGAAAGTGTAACCCAGACATGCTTTCCAAAACTTGCACCTCCTCTCATCTTTTAAAAATATAAAAGATGCCACACTTCTTCTTATAGATGAGACAGATGCAGACAGATAAATGTTTAGAGGTGAATCATGGATGAAGGAGCGGTGAGTCAGATGGGAGTTGTGTTATTGTCTTTGTCCTCGTACCACCAGGGAAGGCGATGTGGTGGTCCGCACGTGAGGCCAAAGTTTCCTCGGGCTGCGTGAAAAAGAACAWCAGGTTTAATCATAACACGTGGTTTTCTAGTTTGTGTTCAGGTGCTGTCGTGCACGAGGTTAAGACGTAACGTTTGCTTTAAGAAAACTCAGAATAAAAGACCGTCTATATCAGGGGCCACATGAGCGTCATGGTGGTCCTCAAAGGGCCAGTCGTAATTAACTTTAACCTTGACTAAACGTGAAACGTCCTCGTCCCATTSCTACAGCTGAGCACCGCTAACAAACACTAACTGAGCTCTACCTGGTGTTTCCTGTATAGAAACAGTGTTTTAACATGTCCTCTTATAAATACTGAAAAGTAATAAATAAAACAGAAATACTAGTAACRGTAAAAGTTTTACTCTGAGTTGTAGTGAGTAGCCACCATCTTGAATTCTGAACTCCTCCACTTTCCGAGGGAATTCCCATGGATCGACATGCATTATGGGAAACGTAGTTTATGGTTGATGCTGGTTTATTTGAGAYATTATTACTTAAAGCCAACAGCTCAGAGGCAGGACAAGTATTATCTTTCACCTTTTAAATGTATTTATTTTGTTGCATTTAATCATAAATTTAAAGTTTAGCATTGATATACAAACAATTTTCATATTAAGTTAAAAATAAACCTTGGCCGCCCAGACAGGAGTGATCTGCAGGCCACATTTGGCCTGCAGGCCTTCAGTTTGACACATGTGGACTATATGATCTCAACAGCCTGATCTCACTCTGTTGCCTTTACATTAGTAGTGTGTGTTATTTCACCTAAGCATCATCTAGTTGTGGAGGCGCCACCCCGACACACACACACACACACACACACACACACACGCACGTTTGTTCTTGAACCCCATGGGGACCGTGCATTGACTTCCATTCATTTATTTTTTACTTTATATCCTAACCCTGACCATTTACCTTAAAACTAACCTAAATCTTGGTCCACCCATAATTTGCATTTGGACCCGTGGGGACCGATGTCTGGCTGCTTTTTTTTGTAAAATTTTCCCCACGTTGTAGGAAAAACCTGTCCACACACACATATAAAATGATGATGTCATATTTACTTTACAATTTACCAGGATGTTTGAAGAGAACAAACAGATCCTGTTGATGTTATTTCATGTTTTTTTTCTTACAGATGTGATGACTAAGAGGAAACAGTTCAACAAGGCAGTAAATCTGTATTTTTTTAAACTTTTTTTAATCCAACGGATAAATATTTTAGCACATATATCTTAAGCTTTTTTTTAAAGTGTTGGCAGGTTTCATGAACCACAGAAACCCCACATGTTAAAAGTACAAAGACTTTACGGCACATTTTAAATATAAAAACCTCATGAAATAGTGTCGGGGTTTTGAGAAAGTTTGAATGTTCCTGTCGAATCAGACGTCCTCTGTTTTCAGCGTGCAACGTGACTTTCAAAGTATAGACCAACTCGCTTTATTTGTACGAACATATGTGTGTGATATGTACATTCTCAGCTAATGGAAACACACGGCTCGGTCAGATGTGTGTGTGTGTGTCGGCCCGTCGGTGGGAGTGAGCCAGAGAAAAAAAAAAGAAAAAAAACATCCAACATATATAAGGGGCCCAGATGCGGCGGCGCTTTAAGTACCAGAGTGTCTGTTTGACTTCAGGACCGTCACTTCTCTGCACCATGCTGCTCCCAGTCCTGCTGCAGGCGTCGCTGCTCCTCTGCWTCACTCAGCAAACTCTGCAGGGCGGTAAGAAATGAAATTCAGTTAAAGTTCTCGTAAACGTCCAAGATCTCAGATCACTCTCAGTGTGCAGGTAGCTGTAATATTCTTCATTTTGATGTTTCTTTTTAAAGTGCGTTAGCCGTTCTGATATTTTTTTCTCCTTTTTAATCATTTTATTTTCATATTTTTACTTGTTTCTCTCCCTTAGCAAAAAGTAGCATACTTGAAGTTCATTTTATTAAGTGTACTTGAATATAAGTTTAAGTATATCAAGTATAGGGCACTATGTACTTGTAGTGTACTAGAAAGTATACTGATGTAATACTTGTTTGTACTAAATTGGGATTTTTGTTTGTTTATAAAAAGTATACTTTAATTATACTGTTATAATGTCTTCCTTAGTTTATAAACTTACCAAAAAGAAGTATACTTCAAGTGCATGTCATTGACTATACTAAAGTATATAAAAGTGTATTTCCCTAAGTGTACTTTTATTTACCACGTACACTGATTTAAGTAGAGCATTTTACTAACAAGTATAGGACTAAATTGGCCCACAATACGTTTATATTAGTGTACGTGGTAAATAAAATTACACTTAGGGAAATACATTTTTATACACTTTAGTATAGTCAATGACATGTACTTGACTATACTAAAGTATATAAAAGTGTATTTCCCTAAGTGTACTTTTATTTACCACGTTATACTGTGGGCCAATTTAGTCCTATACTTGTTAGTAAAATGCTCTACTTATATCAGTGTACGCGGTAAATAAAAGTACACTTAGGGAAATACACTTTTATATACTTTAGTATATAAAAGTTTTTCATATACTTTAGTATATAAAAGTGTATTTCCCTAAGTGTACTTTATTTACCACGTACACTGATATAAGTAGAGCATTTTACTAACAAGTATAGGACTAAATTGACCCACAATACGTTTATAAAAGTATACTTAGAAGTATACTACAAGTAATCTTCTAAGTATGCTTTTGGTTTTATCTTGAAATATACTACAAATAAACCTGTCTGTGTGAAAAATTTACTTTCAGTGTAATACTAAAGTTTATCTTGGCCAAAAGTTTAAGATATAGACTAAGTACTCTTAAACTTTTAGTACAAGTCAAGTATAGTGTAAGATAAACTTGGTTAAGTATATCTCAGATAAGTACATACAAAATAAACTGGAAGTATACTCTTTTATTTTATACTTAATGAATACTTGTAAATACTAGTTTTTGCTAAGGGGTAGTTTTTATAACTAAAAATCTAAGGAGAAAGATTTTAAATTGCAAGTGTTGGTTCTGATTAATGCTGAAGTCTAGTAAAAGTTTAAATTTGTGAAAAGCCGTCTGATTTCACAGTCCTGCCTCAGATGACTCGGCGCCTTCGGCGACTCGGTCTCACTTACGTGTCAAATGTCGAGTCTGTGAGACCGAATATTTGAGCTCTGAAGTCCTTTGTTCTGTGATTTCATCAAATCAAAGTGTCAGGAGCAGAGAAAATGTGTCAGCTGAGCGTCAGGAGGTCACGTCTGTCCTACAAATCAGAGCCGTTTTTTAAAGCAGACGATTCAAAAACCAGTCGTGTTTCTGAAATAACTGAGCTGATCGGTGGATTTCTGTCAGAAAATATTTATAGATAAATACTTTGAGAAGTGTAAACATCACAAAAAAGCATCTGTCTGTTGAATGAGCCGGGCGTTTTGATAGAAGAATCTGAATTTATTTTAAATAAAACGTGACTCGTTTTCATTTTCTCAATTTTCCAGGGGTTGCTCCTCAAAATGTGGCGTACGGGAGAGCACTGCCACTTCGAGGTACATTTTATGTTTCTTACATTTTTATTTTAACAAGGACAAAATAAAACTCCCAGAGTTGTAACTAAGTACAAATACTTTGTTACTGTACTTAAGTAGAATTTTTGGGCATCTGCATTTGAGTAATTATTTTTCAGCCTACTTTTTACTTCTACTTCTTACATTTAAAAAAAAGACAAGAAAGTTGTTACTTTTATTTCATTTTTGCTTGTTTTCATTGCAGCTTGTTATTGTAAAAAATAAAAACTATCCATATAAACTGAGCCTCCTAGATAGAGTGAATGAAACTGTGGTTGAATGAGAAGTATAAATATATAAAACTCTGATAGTGTATTAGTTTGTACACAAACAAATCATGTCACACTGCAGCAGGACAGAATCATTCAAATCAAAGGACTGTACTTAAGAAGTATTTGTATTTCATGAATTATATTCTTACATTTGGCCGCAGCCCTCAGATAGATTTTCATTTAGGGGAAAAGCTTTGTGCAGCCTTGATATATGTATATAAACTGAAACAGCTGGACTAGTGCATCCTAAATTTAACATCCATTCATTCTTTTAATACAACAGTCATTTCTGCAGTTTTTGGGGAGGTCACCTCCTAATAAATGTCCTTACAGAAAATCTAACTGCTCATTTTAAATCAATACTTTGACTTTTAATACTTAAGTACAAAAAATATCAGATACTTTAAGACTTTTATTCAAGTAATATTCCTAAAGGAGACTTTAACTTTTACCAAAGTATATTTTTGGTAAGATACTTGTACTTTTACTCAAGCATCACTTTGTGGTACTTTATACAACAGTGAAAACTCCTCATAAAACATCAGGAATGCAGCGCCGGGATCCAGTTTCTCATTTCAGTGTCTTTTGTTTTCAGGCGTTGGTGTCGGAGTAAAACCTGGAGGTTTGTCTCTGAATCATTCACTGATAAATAAAGTCACATTTAGGCAGCTGAAAATTGACAAAATATTACAAATTTTCTTTTTTTCAAAGTCTTTCGAAGACACTAAGAACCCAAATAATCACAAAAATCCTTTTGTGTTTCAGTTACTGGAGCCCTTGGAGCCCTGGGCAGCAGATTTAACACAAAAGCCCTGAAAACTGGAAGTAAGTTCAGCTCTTCTGAGATTTGTTTTATGAACCATTAGAGTCAAATTTTTATTTATTTTTCGTTTTATTTTTAATTCTCAGATGGACGTTATCCTGCAGCTCACCTGGGTGTTGGTAACGAGTCAAAATGAAACTGAAAAAACTCAAATCTTCTAAAAATGAGTGAGTTTCCTGGAGTTGCAGATTAAAACTGGTTTCCTTGTTTCTGCAGGAGGCTACAGATCTCTCGGTCTGGGGTCCAGAGGAGGTCTGAAGCAGGGTGGATACGGAGCTCAGGGAGCCTACGGTAAATTCACCTCCTCAGCTGCTTCTCTGATTATTTATTGCCGTCTCCTTCTTTTTGTACCGTTTTTATTTTCTGTGCTTCAGGTGCCAGTCTGGGCACAGGAATGGGACTGGGGCCAGGACTTACAAATGGACTGGGCCTGGGCCAGGCGGGGAAACGTGGTACGACCGATCGATGAGGAAAGATGTATTATATAAATTAATCATTTGAAGCCATTTTCAGTACGGTCTATTAGTGGGATATAGACCCACTAAAGCACATTTTATAACACCAAACTGGATAAAACCACTTTAATTTCTTCACATTCAGGTTAAAACTTTGCTCCGTCATTAAAAACTGCCTCGACGTGTCGATAATTTGGATGATGATCTGAAAAATGTTCATTTTACACAGAAAATATTAACATTTTGCTTCTGTTTGGGTTTTTCTCCTCAGTAAACTTTGTTCTGAAAGATTACAGAAGCATATTTATGTGCAAATTTCTTGACGACATTTTTTGTTGAGAGATAACTGTAAGAAAAAACCTTCTGTACTATGATTATAAAAAATGTAGTAGTTCCACGTATTTCACGTATACAAGTACACGTTTCTTCTTTAAGTCTGTTCTTTCTAGTTTTAGTCATTTTAAGAGAAATCCTAGCCTGAAACCTTAACTGAACTTTTGTTTCTTTAGTTAGAGTTCCTCAGTCTTTGACGTGTCTAACCTAAGTTAAGGATAATCATATTTAATTATTCACAGATGAAAATGACTCATTTATACATCCGATAGATGAGGTTTTTTTTAATGAGAAATTAATTCTGCGTTTGTGATTTTGCAGTTTACGGCGCTGGTCTTGGTGCTCTTCCAGGTACAGAAACATTACAGCCTTTAATACCATGTTTTGTTGTTCCTTTTTTAAACTCAAACCAAAGTAAATTCAGTAAATGACATTTCCTCTGAGCCTCTAAGCAACGTGTCGAACATTTCTCCATCTCCTCTCCAGGTTACGGGAGTTTCGCGGGCGTCGGGTATCCTGCAGTCCGACCAGGTGAGTGCAGCGTCACGCCTCGCCTCACGACTCTGGGCTGTAACTTTTACTCTACAACACCAAAATCAGAGGTGTAATCTGCAGACACAACCCCAGCAGTGAAGTTGTGTAAAACATAAATAGAAACAGAATACGGTGATTTGCAAACACTTTTTAACCCATGTGTAACTGAATACACAACAAAGACGAGATATTGAAATTCAAAACGTTCCAAAAAAAAAAGCTGGGACGAGGTCATGTTTCCCACTGTGCTCCATCAGCTTTCCTTTTAACAACACTCGATACGTGTTTGTGAACTGACAACACATTGTTGAAGCTTTGTAGGTGGAATTTTTTCCATTCTTATTAATCGTATGATAAATTAAATTGAGGAAAATTAAAATGAAGACAATAATTTTCATTTGCCTGCTTTTTTGTTTTCTTTGTGTCTTCCTCTTCTGTACTTCGTAGCATATAGTAGCGCACTCTGGCGTCAGGTATTTGTCAGGTGCATGATCTCTAACCTCTGTAACATGAAAGCCCATGAACAGGCGTTTAGCCGGAGGAGCTACTTCAGTTTTCTGATGCCTTCGTATAGCTGGTGACGCCTTGTGATTGCAGACAGTTGGTTTTTTTTTTTACACTATGTAAATTTTAACGTAAACTTCCGTAAACGGGGGTTGTTATATCATTATATTATTTTAAACTGGTCTCCAACAATATCGTTGTTTATCGCAATAATTTCTGAGACAGTTTATCGTCCAGTAAAATCTGTTATTGTGACAGGTCCATTGATGAACAACTTCAGTTGCACGTGCAGAATGCGTCTTCATTGTCTTGCTGAAATCAGCAGGACGTTCCTGAAAAAGACGTGGCTTGGATGGCAACATTATGTGCTGCCATCCAAGCCACGTCTTTTTCAGGAACGTCCTGCTGATTTCAGCAAGACAATGAAGGCTCATTCTGCACGTGCAACGTGGCAGCATAATGTTGCTCCAAAACCTTTAGCATTCACGGAGCCTTCACAGATTCAACTCAGTTCAGTTTATTTATCTAGCACCAAGTCACAACTGTTGTCTCAGGGCACTGTACACAAAAAGTAAATAAATAAATAAATAAATCTAAAGAGGCCAGCAGACTGCGCCAAATCCTTGCTTCGTCACAGTCTCCCATCCTGAGCAGCACACCGGCAGCAGCTGAGAGGGAAAAACTCACCCTCCCAGCAGAATCAGGCTCAGGATGATGTGTAGGTTACCCGGTGCTATGTGCACTAATGTACTCCCATACCATCAGAGAGGCTGGATTTTGAACTTTGCGCTGATAATAATCCAGACAGTCCTTTTCCTCTTTGGTCCTGAGGACACCATGTCCATGATTTCCAAAAAAAAAAAGAAACAATGAGAAATGTGGACTCGTCAAACCACGGGACGCTTTTCCACTTTGTGTCAGTCCATCTCAGATCAGTCCTTTCATGCTGGGTTCACACCGAGCCGCAGGAGCGGCTGGTTTACATGCAAAGTCTATAGTGGACGTGCGTCTAGGGGTCTTGCGGTACGTCTAGCGCATTTAGCGTGACGCGCAGTGAAGCAGTAGGTGCAGTTTGAGGGTTTTCCGTATACGCGGTGCGTCCAAAGCTGCCAACGTTCGAGTTCAAAAATCTGAACTTTTGCTGCTCGCTGTGCCTCGTCAACCAAACAGAGAATCGTTTTTCCACGTGACGGTTTCCTGATTGTTTCCCACTAAACTGAAACACAGACAGGAGCTCTTTAGCTGAAATGGACCACCTGTAGTCGGTGTTCGGGCTGGAGATATCAGCACCGATGCGGGTCAGCAGCTCGTTAAACTGGGCTCGGGACAAAAATAGTTTGTTAGCTCGCGGTTCCTGGAGTGGTGAAACTAACCGAACAAACCACCTCTAAATTACCTGGTGAATTAATTATCTGGTGTGAGCAACGTTCGCTTGCTCTCAGTAAATAAAGAAAAGCCGTTTTCTTTATTTCATCTTTATTTCATCCGCCGTTAAAGGCAGACCGGAAAAAAAAACCAAGAAGCTCCTCCCATAAAACCGTCTTCAGACGTGTGTCTAATCTATGCCCGGTCTGAATGTAGCTCGTCCAACTTGAAGCGTTGGGCGCGTTGTAGGTGCTCAAAACGTGTTCAGTGTGAACGTAGCATCGGGGACGCTCCCTTTTCACCCAATCATGACACTCACCTGTTTCCAACTAACCTGTTCACCTGTGGAATGCTCCAAACAGGTGTGTTTTTATCAATTCCCAGCCTTTTGTTTCCACCTGTCCATGTTGAAGGCATCACATTCAAAATGAGTGAATATTTACAAAACAAAAACAATGAAGTTTATCCGTTTGAACATTAAATATCTTGTCTTTGTCGTGTATTCAGTTGAATATTGGTTGAAAACCATTTGCAAATCATCATGTTCTGTTTTTATTTGTTCAACACGACCTCATTGGAACTGGGGTTGTAGATTTGCAGCTTCAGCCTCATATCTGTTGGGTTCAGCGTCAGTAAATCAGCTTTTTATATCAACATGTCTTCTCTTGAGTCCAATCCAAAGAAAACATTTAAAATCACGGTGACAGCTGCTTGTGTTGGTCCGGTGTCTTCGTCTTGTCCTGACTCTCGTTTGTGTTTCAAGTGCCATGCCATTTTTTATGTGTTTACATCGTTGCGATGACTGACTCCAGTTTGTTTTGTTGAATATTTCCTAATCGCGGTAATAATCCTGCTCCTTCAAACTGGACTACCTTCAGACCCCGAAGAGTCTGGTCCTGTATTTGTATTTGTTTTTCTTGATCCGCTTGCGTTGAAGGTTCTGTTGCACACGTCACTAACGCCGCCTGAGAAAGCGCTGTTGTGTCTCTGAGCCTACAGGAAGCTGAGAGTGCATGATGATGTTTCTCTGCCAGGTGCGTCGTCTGAGGCAGATCTTGGCGGACCCGAGGTGGCCGGTCCGGGCCAAGCTCTTCAAGATCTTAAAAGAAAAAAGAGCAGAGCTGAAAGCCACGGGTACGGAACACACGATGGGACGATTGGAGCTGAAATGCCCATCGAGAGGAGGACCAGTGTTCCTCAAATACACGCAAGGATCGAGGTCAGAAACCTTAATCCAGTCATTCGACCATCGAGTCTTAGACCCACAATGCCTCTTGATAAGCAGGATAAACTTCTTGGTGCTGGTGTTCCACAAACACACGGGGGAAGACCCGAAGCCGGCGATGGAAGACAACTTTACGGTCCCAGAGACCCGTTCATTCCAGAAAAACCAAAAGCTAAAGACTGGGAATCTCTTGAGTCAGAGGTGTTGGACATGAGTCGATTTGGACCTTTGGGATCAGAAACTCGCAGAACTCAAGGGTTGGTACCACAGCTCCATACAGGCAAAGCAGGCAAATACTTTGGACGCATTAATCCACCGCCACAAGAGAGAACCTATCCTCCTCCACAAGATCCCAGGCATCATTTATTCTCCACCTCACAGCAGCAAAAAACCAAAGATCCTTTATTTGTCCAAGCAAACGGGCAGGACGGAGGAGGAACTGGAACCAGAGATAAAATCAGACCCAAAATCAGAGACCAATACTTTGACCCGTTGAACCCCGGTGCAAGTACAACCCAACGTTCGGGCCCTGAAGAACAGGAATTTACTGATGCAACAGATTTTTCTCGAGCTGAACCGAAAAGAGAATCAAATCCTCTTCATGTGCCGAGAAGGGCTGGAGGGCAAACACAGGCAGCAAGTAAGAGAAAAGAATTCACATTATTAACCATAAACGTCAATTCGTGTAATGTCTTTTTTTTCATGGACCTTTTCGCAGATACAGCCATCTTTTGTGTAGCGCAAAGCATCATGGTCCAGTTTCTGGTGCCGATGGCCGTGAAAACGGGACGTAGAGATACATGAAAATAAGTTAGATCAATGAAAACTTAAGATTGTCTCCACTAGGTTCGGTAGATCTGGTAATTATGTTGGCCTTGTATCATATTTGCCGTCACTTAATATTGCAGTTATATAGGTATGGACCATCTTAAAAGTTGAACACATCTATATAATTGTAGAGTTTATTTACAGTATTTACAAACTGTTTTTGACCAAATTTACCTCAGCTTTAGTGTTACTGTTACTCTGTATGCTACATAAACGGAAGATCAAAGACGCAAATGACGGACATCATTTTCGAAAAACAACAGCACACAAGCGTCCTATGGCGTGTATACAAGCATCGACCATAAGTTATCCTAACTTTGGTAAATATCATCTACTTTGATGTTAAATGTTTTCCTCTTATTTGACTGATAGGTGTCAGGTTGTGAAACACGGTAGCTCTGTGTCCGGGTCTCTGCCCTGTTCCATGGG